GTCTGCTTTACACTGCCCTCCATTTTGGGGGTCCTCTCTGCACCTCCCACCATTTCTCACAGGAGGCCTCCTTTACTGGTGGCATTTGGCTTATCTTCATTAGAGTTTGTCCAAAGAGCTCAGGCTGTAGGCTCACCTTCTCGGGATGCCCAGTCATGTGCTCAGGTGAGCAAGATGCATCCATTTCATCTCATCCCAGATCAAGAAGAGGAGGGGCTGTGTAACGCGAGAATTCCAAGACCCCAGCAATAATGTAGCACTACCTGGCTTCTTCCCCACCACCATTAGGCTTTGCCAGACACATCAAAAGTTTGAAAAGCAAAATAGCATTTTTTCCAATCATCCAATTTAGAAAATGGAAGAATGGATATAAAATCGACTTCACCAGTGCCCTTTCCATACAGATACTAGGTTCAATGTAGCTGTAATGTAAATATTAATGATATTTCCGTTTTCGTGTTAAGCTTTGTTTGTTTGTCTCTTTGCAGCAGCAGTCAGGAGAGTGACTAAACGCTTATTCATTTGCAGGGTTTTTCTTTTGGAAATGAACATGCTGGCACAATTTTAATTGGGTTTTAGTTGTTGTTGTTTTAATTCTCACAGTGATGGCTTGGCTATGTCTTTTGGGACTGCGGAGGGAAACTGGCATCTGGTGTTTGAGGATTCTGGGGATTTGCACCATATTTATGTGTAATAACTATACAGTAAATAAACAGAATGAATAATTAAGTGAATAATGAGTTTCTCAGAAAAGAAGGTTCCTCTGAAGACTTCAGTAGAAATTCTCGTGTATGTGTTCCGCCCTCCCTCCCGCCTGGCGATTCCGCAGTGTTCTCACTGTGTCATTGCCCCCATGGAAACCAGCAAGGACATTTTCCAAGCCAAAGTCAAGTGTGCCATAAATCGACCCAGCTAGATACAAATAAGGACGTTTCTCTCACTTTTGTATTTTCTTCCAGTTGCAAGGATGTTGGACTTATATTTGTTAGAATGATCTTTTTTAACCCTAGAGAGAGAGATTTGCCTGTTTAAAAATAAAATCCATGAGATTAAATTTCATTAAAGAGTATTTCTCTGAGGGGCTAAAGACTTGAAATTCCAGGAATTGGCTGTATCTGGTGAAATTACATAAATGCATACTAATACCCATATTAGTCAATACAAGGTGCCCTTGCTTCAAGATGCAAGCCAGGTCTAAAGTGACTTTCCCGAAGTTCAGACCCCCTAATATCGGTAATTACCGGTTCTCTCGTGTGTGTGTGTGTGTGTGTTCATCAGTTCGCTCATATGTTTTTACTTGTCCATTCATTCATTCAGTGACTATTCACTCACGTGGCTTTTTTTTTTTTTTTTTTTTTTTTTTGAGACAAGAGTCTCGCTCTGTCACCCAGGCTGGAGTGCAGTGACAGAATCTTGGCTCTTGGCAACCTCCGCCTCCCCGGTTCAAGTGATTCTCATGCCTCAGCCTTCCGAGTAGCTGGGACTACAGGCACATGCCAGCATGCCCAGCTAATTTTTGTATTTTATTTTAGTAAAAATGGGGTTTCACCATGTTGGCCAGGCTGACCTCAAACTACTGGTCTCAAGCAATCGGCCCACTGTCACCTCCCAACCTGCTGGGATTACAGTGTGAGCCACTGCACCCCACCCACTCACACATTTTAATTTGTCCATTCATTCATTCAGTGAGACAGACCAAAGCAGAAAGCAATTATTCACTGAGCACCCACTACATGCCAGGCACCGTGCCAGGCTCTGGGGACAGCTGACTGAACAAAACAAGACCCAGTTCCTCTCCTCACAGAGCTTGCATTCTTATCAAGATGACAATAAGATAATAAAGCAGATTACAACTGTGACCAGCTCTGTGAAAGAGAGTATGTCAGTCCCCTTGGGAAGGCTGAGTGGCTTAGACACAGAGACTTATTTTCTCACCTAGAAGAGAAAGATCCTAGAACAGCCTAGAAGACTAAGATCATGGAGCAGGCAGGGCTGGTGTCTCCTGAGGCCTCTTTCGTTGACCATCAGATGGCTGACTTCTTGTGGCACCCTCACGTGGCCTTTCCTCTCTGTGCACCCATCCCTAGGGTCTCTTAATTGAGTCCACATGTCCTCTTCTTATAAAGACACATGCACACGAATGTTCACTGTGGCACAGTTTACAATAGCAAAGACCTGGAACCAACCCAAATGCCCATCGATGATAGACTGGACAAGGAAAATGTGGCACATATAAACCATGGAATACTTTGCAGCCATAAAAAAAAGATGAGTTTTTGTCCTTTGTAGGGACATGGATGAATCTGGAAACCATCATTCTCAGCAAACTGACACGAGAACAGAAAATCAAACACCGCATGTTCTCATTCATAGGCAGGTGTTGAACAATGAGAACACATGGATACAGGGAGGGGAGCATCACACACTGGTGTCTGTTGTGGGGGGATAGGAGAGGGACATCAGGGGGTGGGGAGGTTGAGGAGGGATAACATGGGGAGAAATGCCAGATATAGGTGACGGGGAGATGGAGGCAGCAAACCACATTGCCATGTCATGTACCTATGCAACAATCCTCCATGATCTGCACATGTACCCCAGAACCTAAAGTACAAAAAAAAAAAGACACTACTCATTGGATTAGGGCTCACCTTAGCTGACTCATTTCACATTAATTGTCTCTTTAAAGGCCTTATCTCCAAATGCAACCGCATTCTGAGGTTCTGGGGATTAGGACTTCAACATACGGATTTGGGGGAAACCTAATTCAGCCCATAACGGAGAGGTAGCTGGACAGAGATTGTAATGGGGACAGGACAGCTCAGATAACCAAGTAGGGACGTAGGTAGGCTTCCCTATTTAACCATCTTTCACAGACTCTTATTACCCTGCACGTTTCCTTCAAAGTGATTGTTATGGTTAAAATTACATCATTAGTTGTTTAAATTCTATTTCTCCCACTAGAATGCATAGTCTATGTTCTATGAGCATATCTGAGTAATTAATAGAGCAGACTGGTGGTTCTGGAGCCAGACTCTCTGGGTTCAAATCTCGACTGCCCTGCTTCCTAGTGGTGAAATGTGGGCAAGGTATTTCACCTTGCTGTGCCTCAATTTGCCTTGTATATAAAATGTGGATTCTAGTTGTACTTCCTTCTTAGAACTTTTAGGATTATGAAATGAGTTAATTATTGTGGAGTATTTCTTGCAGTCCTTGGCATGTAATAAGCACTGAGTAAACGTTAGCCATTATTCATCACTGTGTCTCTAACTACTTGATGGACAAATAATCAGCTAGATGGATGGACTAATGAATGGATAGGTGGAAGAACGGAAAGATGGGTGAAGTTGGCAGGAAATAAAACACAGTCTTTACTAAGTTATATTGACTGAGCATCGTGGCAATGCAAGGAAGCCCAAACGGATTGTGAAAAGAAGGGGTGGCCCATACTTTACAACATAATTACATTTCAAGATATTGAGTCCCCTTAAGATAAACCTTGCCTGTATGGTTACCGTCAGGCAGGGCGTTAAGAAATCCCCATCAAGACTTCTTCAAAGATAAGCCAAGTTATTTGTCACCTGACTTCAACAGAAGGGAGAAAAGTCACCACAGCCCAACCATCCCCTTCTTAATTAAACCATGCATTTCCCAATTTAACAGATGTTTTAAAGGTATAATCTAAAAGCTCAGTTTAATCTGATTTAAACAATAAATTGATTCATTGGCTTAATTCAGTCTTGTGTTTCTCTCCCAGACAATAATGGAATTCCTACTGTGTGTTGGGCACTGTGGTAGGTATTGGGTAGTTACAAAGTCGAATAAGATATTGTCAGGCCAGGTGCCATGGTTCATACCTGTAATGCCAACACTTTGGGAGGCTGAGGCGAGGGAATCACTTGAGCCCAGGAGTTCAAGACCAGCTTGGGCAACAAACGAGACCCTTCCTCTGAAAAAAATTTAAGAAAATAAAAAATTAGCCAGGCATGGTGGCATATACCTGTAGTCCTAGCTACTCTGCAGGCTGAGGCGGGAGGATCACTTGAGCCCAGGGGTTTGAGGTTGCACTAAACTGTGATCATGACACTACACTTCAACCTGGATGACAGAGTCATCCTGCCTCTCCAAAAAAACAAAAAGATATTGTCATTGTCCTCAAGGAGCTTAAGAGTCTAAATGCACTTTATAAATAAACCTTATAAAAAAATAAGTAAATGCTTATGATAGCTCTACCTGATCAATATAAAACCAATGCAGAAGCAAAAGCTCTTTTCTGAACAGGAGAAGCAGCCAGCTATGGCTCAGCCCCACTCTAATCCCGGCTCTGCCCCAGCTTCGATGGTGGGGCCTCTGGGTAGAAGAGTCGAAGCTGCCCAGTCCCACATGGGAGATATTTCATTACTGTCACTATATTTATGAAAGTAACTCATGTCTGGTATCTCCTTTTGCCCAAAGAATTCTCTTTTTGTAATTTATTACAAAATTCAAGGCCATTTCATTAGGGGGAAATGTGCCATGTCATTATCCAACAACTCCCCTTATTTTTGTTCAGTTTTAAAACTGACAATCCAAAGACTATTTTTAGCTCAGTCATGTGAGATTATTTGTTTCCTTATTATGAGAAGTTTTTCCTTCAGACTAGTTAACATGAATTTTATGCTCACTTATTATGTCACGTGCTCCAATTCAATTTATTTTAAAGCGGATTCTTTGGGGAAAACTGTAAAGCTAATTTGAATTGATTCTTTAGAGATTCCATTTTAAATAAAGTGCTATAAAAATTGGCAGACAAAGTGAAAAAATGGAATTGAATTTTCTTCTTCGGCTACTCATTGGATTCAGAAATCTTGCTTTTCGACACTGCCAAAGGTTTTGATATAATGTTTTATGCAATTTTCATAACATTTATATTAAACTCCACTGCCTTTGGTTTGGATGTTCAACTGCAAAATGGTTTCCTGATATTTTCATATATAAAAAAGTGGAGTTCTTGCTAAAGGAAAACTTTGGTGTCTTGATACAAACTTTCTAACACCCACTTTGGTACCCATCTATAAAACATCTGGTGTAAGACAGATGTTCTAATTCTGGAGTGAATAACCAGTGCTGCGGACACACTCCTGAAGGGGGTGTGGAATAAAACTGCATACCCAACTTCCTCCCACTTCGCCCAGTTTATACGTCTTTCTTTCAAAGTTGATGGATCTCCAACTTGAAGAGAGTGTGGAAATAATAGGCAAGAAGCCTGATGGCTTAATTTCCTGTCCCTCACAGACCCCAAGAAGCATTCATTGTTCCTGAGCGAGTAGGCTCCAAGCTAATCAGAAACAGCCATCATTGCTGGGAACCAGGGCCCCGGGATTGGTCCGTCTGACTCCACTTGATGATTTACATCCTATTATTAAGAATCTAATGAGAAATACATCGAAAACACATGTCTGCCATTTCATTTTGAGACATACTTGTTTTCTTTGATGTGTCTTTAAAAGGGAGTTTTATTTCACACTCATCTTTTCCCTTGAATTCCCGATACAATCGTTCCTATTGACCCAGCTGGTAAGCTCATTGCCAGCTCTCCAAGGGTCTTCGCTCACTTTTGCTCTGCTGCCATTGACTATAGCAAGGGTTCTGAGTGACTTCCCCAGATTCAGGGTGGCCTTGAAAGAAACAAATCATTGTTGCATGAGTTTTTGTTCTGATTACAGACGATAATCATGTGAAGTGAATACATGTGTCATTAGCGTTTCAGTGAAAGGAGCAGACCCAAGACCAACTCCTCCATCAGACACACAATGCCTACAGCCCCCGACACTTGTAGGGCCCAATTTTAATTTTAATTTAAGATTGGAGGAAAATGAGTATGATAGTGAATATATAATAATAAATCCAGCTTAGATGGTATTTGTTTTTATACCAACATAGTTATAAAATATAAGTTTTTGGGGGGAAGGGGAAGGAATCTTGCTCTGTTGCCCAGGCTGGAGTCCAGTAGCCTCCCGGGATCAAGCAATTCTCCTGCCTCAGCCTCCCAAGGAGCTGGGATTACAGGCACGCACCACCACCATTAGGCCCTGTAAATTTTTGTACTGTTAGTAGAGATGGGGTTTCACCATGTTGGCTAGGCTGGGCTTGAACTCCTGACCTCAGGCGATCTACCCACCTCGGCCTCCCAAAGTGCTGGGATTACAGGTATGAGCCACCACACCTGACCTATGCTATAATTTTTTTTAAAATGTTTTAACAGTAGGAGAAGGTCCATGAAGGCAAAGTGGCTCAGCCCATGAAAGTCATGATTCATCTTTGAGCAGAACTGCTGTGAGTAGCATGGAATAAGGGACTGAGTCTAAGGGCTGGCTTTCCTGTGCCTGTACAGCTGATGGAGAGGTCTCAGCAGAGCTGGTAGACCTCTGCCTCTGGAGATGGGCTTGAGGTTAGCCTAGGTCACAAAGCCGGTAGTTGAGGGAAAAAAGCCAGAGGTAAAGGCAGTGGTTCTCAAACTAGGGCGATTTTGTCCCCCAGAAGACATTTGGAAATGATATCTGGAGACAGTTTGGGTTGGGACAGCTTGGGTGAGAGCGACCACTGCTATCTAGTGAGAAGAGGCCCGGGATGCTGCTAAACACTGCAGTGCACAGGCAGCCTCCGACCACAGAGTCATCTGGCTTGAAAGAGCAATAAGACCGAGGATGAGAGACCCTTACGTGAAGAAAGGCCACCACCTACCAGCCATGTCTGCCTCTTGCAGCCTCCCTCAGTGATGGGATAACCCAAAGCAGGAGATGGCATCCCTTGTCATTGAGCAGCAGTTGTACCTGGGCCGATTTGAAGATGCTGAAGAGGGAGATGGGGCAGCTGCTGAGGAACTGCAGGCCTGGCTGCCTCAAGCCACCAGGTGAATCAGCAGGTCAGTGGCAACACACAGGATCCCACACCAACCTGCAGAGTGTGAGGGCTGCTGCTTCACTTCCGCCTTCCATGTCTCATGCATATTTCTCCCCCAGTCAGCCCCAACGTGGAACCCTGCAGGGAAGGAACTCTAGAAAATGTAGTTCCAGGTTTGCTAAGTTGCCATAGTCCCAGCCCTCCACAGACGACCCTGAGGGGCTCTGCTCACCAGCACATCACACCCGTGAAGCCACATTTTCTTCACCCCACTCCAGATTTTGCGATTGAAACTGGATGTGCTATTACTATTGTTTCAATCACTAACACCTGGTATGATTTACACTGCTGGTTGTGCATCCACATCTTTCTTTCAGAAATAGATTTGTGGCTGGACACACAGCTGCCCAGACACAGCCATGTCTCAGCCTCCCATGCAGTTAGGGGGGGCCATGTCACTGCTACTTACCACATGCATGTTTGGGCAAGTGGGTGTGCCAGCTCCCGAGCCACAGCTGCAGGCTCCGGCTGCATACTCCTCCATGTGCTCTTTCCCCTTTCCGTCAGTTGGAACCCAAATCTGAGGCACTCAGCTTCAACCACACGATGATAAGAGCAGAGCAGCAGGATGGAGAGATCTGGGAGGTTTTATACCCTAAAGCACCCACATCATACTCATCTTTTTCCCTAAGGAGTTCTGAGTGAGCTCATTCGTCACTTAGGCCATGAATACATGAATAATGAAAACCAACTGAGTCCAGATGCAGTGGCGCACACCTGTAATCCCAGCACTCTGGGAGGCCAAGGCAGGAGGATGGCTTTGAGTTCAGGGGTTCAAGACCAGTCTGACCGACATAGCAAGACCCTCTTCCCAAAAAAGGAAGGAAGGAAGGAAGGAAAGAAGGGAAGGAGGAAGGAAGGGAAAGGAAAGAAAAACAATAAAAGCAACTGAAATTGGGCACAGTGGTTCATGTCTGTAATCCCAGCACTTTGGGAGGCTGAGGCAGGAGGATAAAACTTAAGCCCAGGAGTTTGAGACCACCCTAAGCAACATAGTAAAACCCTGTCTCTACAAGAATTAGCCAGGTATGGTGATGTGCACCTATGGTCCCAGCTACTCAAGAGGCTGAGGCAGGAGGGCTGCTTGAGCCCAGGAGTTTGAGGCTGCAGTGAGCTATGATGATGGCATTGCAAACTCCAGCCTGTCTCCTTTTAGAGACACCAAGACCCTGTTGAAAGAAAGAAAGAAAGAAGAAAGAAGAAGAAGAAAAGGAAGAAAGAGAGAGAAAGAAAGAAGAAAGGAAAGAAAGAAGAAGAAGGAAAGAAAGAGAGAAAGAAGGTACCAGTACCATGCTGTTTTGATTTGGAAACTGGACCCCTTCCTGACACCTTACACTAAAATTAACTCCAGATGGATTAAAGACTTAAACATAAGACCTGGCACCATAAAAACCCTAGAAGGAAATCTAGGCAAAACCATCCAGGACATAGGAGTAGGCAAGGACTTCATGAACAAAACTCCAAAAGCATTGGCAACAAAAGCCAAAATAGACAAATGGGACCTAATGAAACTCCACAGCTTCTGCACGGCAAAAGAAACAGTCACTAGAGTGGATCGGCAACCAACAGAATGGGAAAAAATTTTCGCAGTCTACCCATCTGACAAAGGGCTGATATCCAGAATTTACAAAGAACTCAAACAGATTTACAGGAAAAAAACAAACAAGCCCATTCAAAAGTGGGCAAAGGATATGAACAGATACTTTACGAAAGAAGACATATATGAGGCCAACAATCATATGAAAAAATGCTCATCGTCACTGGTCATCAGAGAGATGCAAATCAAAACCACATTGAGATACCATCTCACGCCAGTTAGAATGGCGATCATTAAAAAATCTGGAGACAACAGATGCTGGAGAGGATGTGGAGAAAAAGGAACACTTTTACACTGTTGGTGGGAGTGTAAATTAGTTCAACCATTGTGGAAGACAGTGTGGCGATTCCTCAAGGCCTTAGAAATAGAAATGCCATTTGACCCAGCAATCCCATTACTGGGTATATATCCAAAAGACTATAAATCGTTCTACTATAAGGACACATGTACACGAATGTTCATTGCAGCACTGTTTACAATAGCAAAGACCTGGAATCAACCCAAATGCCCATTGATAATAGACTGGATTGGAAAAATGTGGCACATATACACCATGGAATATTATGCAGCAATCAGAAATGATGAGTTTGTGTAGTTTGTAGGGACATGGATGAATCTGGAAAACATCATCCTCAGCAAACTGACACAAGAACAGAAAATGAAACACCGCATATTCTCACTCATAGGTGGGTGATGAAAAATGAGAACACATGGACACAGAAAGGGGAGTACTAAACACTGGGGTCTATTGGGGGGAAAGGGGAGGGCCAGTGGGAGGGGGAGGTGGGGAGGGATAGCCTGGGGAGAAATGCCAAATGTGGGTGAGGGGGAGAAGAAAAGCAAAGCACACTGCCATGTGTGTACCTACGCAACTGTCTTGCATGCTCTGCTCATGTACCCCAAAACCTATAATCCAATAAAAAATTAAAAAAAAAAAGAAAGAGAGAAAGAAGGAAAGAAAGAGAAAGAAGAAGAAGAAGAAGGAAAGGAAGAAAGAGAAAGAAAGAAGAAGGAAAGAAAGAAAAAGAAAAAACGAAAAAGAAAGACTGAAATTCACTTAAGCAGAAAAGGCAATGTATTTGAAAGTTCAGGGTAAGAGTTTCAGGCATACCTGGATCTAGGGGATTCCAAGTAGTCATTAGGATTCTCCATCTCCCAAGGCTGGCTGCCTTCAGGGGTCCAGGGAAGATGACTTTGAGAAGTTCCAGGCTCACGATTTCCTTCTAGCTCCCGACCCAGGAGAAAACAGGAGCTTCTCTCTCTCAAGGCATACTTAACTATGAAGAGGAAATGCTGAACAGTCCCGCTGGGGTTACAGGCTCACCCTGAACCAGTCACTGCAAATCCCAGAAGAAGGGAGATTAGAACAAACCTTTAAAATCAGTAGCTGCTGCAGCCCACTTGGGAAGTTAACCGACATGATGAGGCAGTGAAGAGGAAGATCAGGAAGGTAAGACCAGGAAGCTGCAGTTGGAGTTGAGAGGAAGGAAAACCATTCTCAGCTGGGGTCATTAGGACTGTCTTTATAGCAGAGGCAGGATTTGAGCCGGGCGTTGGGAGACCTGGAGTTTAAAAATGCATAAAGAAGAAAATACCAGGCCAGGCGTGGTGGCTCACACCTGTAATCACAGCACTTCGGGAGACTGAGGCAGGTGAATCACAAAGTCAGGAGATCGAGACCTCCTGGCCAACGTGGTGAAACCCTGTCGCTACTAAAAACACAAAAATTAGCTGGGCGTGGTGGCGCATGTCTGTAATCCCAGCTTCTTGGGAGGCCGAGGCAGGAGAATCACTTGAACCAGGGAGTCAGAGTTGCAGTGAGCCGAGATTGTGCCATTGCACTCCACTCCGTCTCAAAAACAAACAAAAAACGACAACAGCAAAGAAAGATCAAGAAAATACCGTACTTTCGTTCCTGACCATTTTCTAAGGCTCAAGGAAGTTCAACAGCCCACGGAGGCGTCAAGGATCGCGTTGATTTTCTTCCCTTTGCCACTGGTTCAGCATCGAGTCCTTCCAGAGACTGACAGAAAGAGGGAGAATTTGGGTATGAGCACAAGAATCCCCAGCACAGTCACTCGGCACCCACATGTAAAGCAGGAGGGAAACGCCGCCGCCATGCTTCTCCCCGACCTGAGGAATGGCTGGTAAGTGTAACTGGCAGTTTCCCTAATCAGTCCAGAAAGGCTTGTTATATAAATAAATGATTCAAATAGGAAGTGACTTACCTTAGGAAACATGCCTCGCTCTTTTTTGTTTTTCATGTTCCTAGAATGGTTTCTTTCAGGTTTGGGGTAGAATAGCTTGTAATTTTAATATGCGTTTATTAATTCTAAAACTGTCAGTGTTAGGATTTTAGGAATACATTTTTATGAGGATTCAAGTAGCATAATAATTTTCCAGCCAGCCAGGCTAACAGAGCCAAGGGCTCAGTTCTTTAGGGCAGGGGTCCGTCCTTTTGTCTGTAAACGCCTCTATGCCAACCAGGGTGCTGTTGGCTGCGTTCAGGGCTATGGTAGCTGGCTTGACCTTAAAAGGTGCTGGATTGGCTGGGCCTGGTGACTCATGCCTATAATTCCAGCACTTTCGGAGGCCGAGTGCTCCTCAGGTGGATTGCCTGAGGTTGGGAGTTTGAGACGAGTCTGGTCAACATGGTGAAACCCCATCTCTACTAAAACTACAAAAAAATTAGCCAGGCATGGTGGTATGCACCTATAATCCCAGCTACTAAGGAGGCTGAAGCAGGAGAATTGCTTGAACCTGGAAGGTGGAGGTTGCAGTGAGCCTAGATTGCGCCACTGTACTCCAGCCTGGGCGATAAGAGTAAAACTTCATCTCAAAAATAAATAAATAATAAAATTAAAATTTTAAAAAGAGCAGTTTAGTGAAAAATGCAGCGTAGACCTGCATTGTCTAATACGATAGCCACCACCATCCACACGAGCACTTAAAATGTGACTAGTCTGAATGAGAAGTGCTGTAAGAGAAAACTTAGTATGGAAATAAAAGGATATAAAAATATTTCATTAATAATTTTTATATTGATTGCAAGGTTGAAATGATAATATTTGGGGCATATTATTAACATTAATTTCCCCCGCTTTTTTTGTACTTAAAACAATGTGGCTACTAGAAAAACTTAAAATTTCATATATGCCTCATATTTATTTTAGGCCTCGTGACGACAGTTTCTGTTACAACTGCCCATTGGCCTTGTAAGTCAAAGCAGCCATAGGTGACGTAGACATGAATGAACATCACTGTGTTCTAATAAAACTTTATTTATGAAAACAGGCAGCCAACCAGGAGGGCTACAGTTTGCTTAACCCTGGTCTAGACTAGAGTTTTCTAGCCTTGGCCCTTTTGACATCTGGGGTTAGGTAATTTGTTGTTGAGGGCCAGTGCATTTTGGGATGTTTAGCAGTATCTCTGGCCTCTACCACTAGATGCCAGTATCACCACCTGCCCCGGCTTTGACAACCTAAAATGTCTGCTGAATGTCTTCTGTAGGGGAAAACATCAGCCTGATTAAGAACCACTGGTCTAGCTCATATGATTTAATTTCTGAGAAAACAATAACTGTGCGCATGTGCAGTGTTCTGAAAGGGCGCACACCAAGGTGGAGGGGTTACATGTTTGGCTTCTCCCCCATCTTTTCATTTTTCTGCGTGTTCTAAATTAAGCATAGGCTACTTGTTTAATATGTAAAAAAGAACAATTATGGAGCCTGGTGTGGTAGCTCAGGCCTGTAGCTACTTGGGAGGCTGAGATGGGAGGATCGGTTGAGCCCAGGTGTCCCATATGAGCCTGGGCAACACAGAGAGATCCCACTGCAAAAAAAGTAGCGTGGGGCAGGGGCAAATAAATAAATAAAACAATTGTGTTAAAAAAAGAGAGCAAAAGAGGCAAAGATAAAATGAGACTACAGAAATCCACGTGTAGAAAGAAAGTGAGAGTTGGGGGAGAGAACACTAATTCATCCTCCAAAGACGAGTTCTCTACTTGGCCAGGTCCTCAACTGCCACCCCAAGATGTAATCAAGGGCAGCAGGTGTGGTTGGGCCAATAAACCGATCTCTGAGTTGATGGGTTTGGAAAAATACATCTGTCACAGTGGGGTAGGCAGGCCCTTGCCTGGTGTGGTGTAACTATTTACCAATAGGAAGCAGGCTTGATTTTGATGTACGCTCACGCCTCCTCGGGCGTAAGGCATGCTGGGACCCGAGCTGTGGAGTCCGCCAGGGAAAGGAGGAAGCAAGGAGTTAGACAGATTTCACAATGAAAAAATGAGCACGCTGACGCCACTGAACTACTGCTCACAAAATCCCGGTCAGCAGCATTTTAGCAACTAAAAAATCAGTGCTGATTTACTGATATTTAAAATTCATGTTATTATAAATCAATTATTATGAGTAACAGTTTGTGCTTACCACGTGCCGGAAGTGTGCCTCATTTAATATTCCATCATCTTCCTTGCGGTGCTGAAAGGTAGGTGCTGTGCTTAGGATACCTTTACAGTTGTGGAACCCGAAGCTGGGTGATGGTGAGTTATGTGCCTAAGAGCTGGCAAGAGATGGAACCAAGGCTACAGGCCACTCTGAGTTGACAAGTCACGCCCTTGTGATCTAAATTAGAAGGGTGTACATTTTCTCTTGGGATTCAATTCTTATTTTGAATGAAAAAATATATAGCTCCTAAGAATTACGGTTTTTTGGAATTAGTCCTTTCCAGGAAAAAAATATTTTACTCACTGTCACTGGTGAGAAGCTCCTAAGCATGTCAAGTTCAGGTGTAAGTTTGAGCAACTTAATGAAGATGTGAAGAGAGGTGAGGCAAGGTCTTGGCAGGAAGCAACCCTGAAAGCTGGGTGGCCTGCTACTGGGATCTGGGTGGTGGGTCCATCAGAAAAGGGCCCCAGCCAGTGTCTGGAGAGATTGAGGGCATGGCTGCTCCCCTCCCTTAGTGCCCTGGATCCCAGCTTCTCCTGCCTCTGCTAGGATGGTAACCCAATACTCATCTCATTTCCTCATTTCCTGTAAAACAACCGCCTCCCACAATAATTCATCATCCCCATCAGCAGTGGACCTTTTATTGTGTGTCTGTTGATATTACAGTTCTGGGTATGAGATAAAGGTGTGGTTGTAGGAATGGATCCTCAGGAAATAGACTTTGAGACAGATGTTTCTGGGGGAGAAGTTAGGGGGAAACCTGTAGGAGAATGAAGGAAGAAGGATTAAACAAAGAAGTTAAACTTCTTGGCAATTATGAAAGAGGGCTCAGCTCACTCCATGGGGACCTCTGAAGATGGCTGGCCCTTCCAAGATGTCTGGGATGGAGGCGGGGGACTGAGTGCCTCAGTCCTTTGAGTCCCTTGTGACTCCAGGCAGCACATCCGGGTTCCCACTACAGAGGCATTGAAGGATTTTGGCTGGTTATGGTGAAACGTCTCAGGGTAGTTGGCTGGCTAACTCCAGGGTCTCATACTTAATCTCTGAGGCCCAGAACATGAATTTTCTTTTCCATTCTTTTCTTTCTTTCTTTCCTTTTTTTGAAACAGAGTTTTGCTCTGTCGCTTAGGCTGTAGTACAGTAACTCAATCTTGGCTCACTGCAACCTCCGCCTCCCAGGTTCAAGTGATTCTCCTACCTCAGCCTCCCAAGTAGCTGGGACTACAGGCACATGCCACCACACCCGGCTGATTTTTGTATTTTTAGTAGAGACAGGGTTTCACCATATTGGCCAGGCTTGTCTCGAACTCCTGACCTCATGATCAGCCCGCCTTGGCCTCACAAAGAGCTGGGATTACAGGTGTGAGCCACAGAGACTGGTCCACAAATTTTTTTTTATATGTCCATAGCTGATTAGTCTTTCTATGACAAGTCACACTAATTAAATTTAGACAAGACAAATGAATACATGACAAATGAATTTGTTTAGAATGAGATTGTCCCTTTGCAGCGATCAAAATGCTTGTGTTCCCGCATGTTCTCACTTGTAAGCAGGAGCTGAACGATGAGAACACATGGGCGCATGGTGGGGAACAACACACACTGGGGCCTGAGTGGGCAGGGTAGGGGGAGGGAGAGCATCAGGAAGAATAGCTAATGGATGCTGGGCTTAATACCTAGGTGATGAGTTGATCTGTGCAGGAACCCACCATGGCACATGTTTACCTATGAAACCTGCACATCCTGCACATGTACCCCGGAACTTAAAAGTTGATAGAATTAAAATGTGTGTGTTCTTTATATCTAACATCCGTTTCCCAGTATCAACACAGCGGAAAGATGATAGCGATGGAGAGGTCTAGAAATCATCAAGTCCAAGTTAAAGCAGGAAGGTCCAAGAAATCTGTCTGCAAGAAGGAAAATCAAAGGTATTTGATGCTTCGGATGGAATGAGTAAGAAGTGGCCGGGCACAGTGTCTCATGCCTGTAATCCCAGCACTTTGGGAGGCCGAGGTGGGCAGGTCACCTGAGGTCAGGAGTTTGAAACCAGCCTGGCCAACATGGCGAAATTCCGTTTCTACTAAAAGTACAGAAATTAACCGGGCGTGGTGGCGCATATCTGTAATCCCAGCTACTCAGGAGGCTGAGGCAGGAGAATCATTTGAACCCAGCAGGTGGAGGATGCAGTGAGCCAAGATGATGCCAATACACTTCAGCCTGGGCAACAAGAGTGAGACTCTGTCTCAAAAAAAAATGTAAAAAGCTAGAAAATATTCATGATGTAGCAAAGACAGTATGTTTCTTCTCTCTACAAAAAAAAAAAAAAGGAAAGTCTAGGAAAAACTCAAAAAGGTACAAGAAAATCGTGGTCCAAATAGAGGCAAAATAAAATGAATCATAATTTTGAGTAACTGCAGGGATGTAATAAAAGAGAATCCCTTAGGCTGTGCTCCCAAGAACATGCTCCTTTGAGTCACCAAAAAGGTGGTGACATTGAACCCAAGAGGAAGAAATGTGGTCCCGACGCAGTCCTTGGCTCTCCAGGGAACAGTGTTGAGCAGCTCACAATAATGTAAATGCAGTTCATTGGCTTTCAACTGGTAGAATTAACCCACAGAGCAGCACAGAGGACTCATCATGGTTGCAGAACCAAGCATCCTGTGACCAGTCGGAGCAACGGAAAGGCAAAGAGCACGCTGGCAGAAATTGAAAGGGGAAAGTGG